AACTTTTGAGTAGAGCTTTACAGACATTGATCGTGACTATAACTGCAACAGATTGCCCGTATAGTTGGATGTCTTACATTTTTACAGTGAAATATTCATATTTAACCACAACTGTAACATCCAGAGGAAGTGCGATGATCATTTTATCTACAATCAATTACAAAATATTGTGTATCAACTATAGGACAGAACTTCAAGGCTTCTAAATTTACTTTTTTTTTTAAGTTGAACATAACAGAGTTGCATAATTCATTAGAAACTGCGACTTTGAGGTCCTGAAGGCTCGGGGAAAATACGAGACGAGCCTTCCTCTGGCGGCTATGGAATTCTCATCAGCACCTAATCCTCATAAAAGCCCCTGGATAGAATCCACATCGTTTGTCATTTCAGATAATGGGAGGAGACGTGGTTCCTACGAGCACTACGTCATCATTGCACTACGTGTGTGGGCTCTCCATAAGTGGTCCAGCGATTAGTATCCATTGTTTTTGCACTAGACGGTTGAGAGTTCGAATCTTCTCTGTTGTTCGCGAATTTTTCAAAATGTTTTAAATATTCTGGTGTGGACGGGAGGTTCCGCCGTGCTTGTCTGGTGGTTAGCTGGTGTTCGGGAGTAGGTCAGCAGTACTGGGGGGGGGGGCATATTTGACTCAAATTTAACTCAAATTCGATTTGATTAGTATAGAAAGATGGGCTGCTCTTGAACTTCAGCCAAGGTTCTGAATGTACGACAGGGCCGGGGCTTTAGGCGCGCGGGTTTCCAGGTGATTTATTGGGGCAGTAATGCCTGGTGCCCGCGCTGCCCCGCGCCTCGGTCCTGCAGGGGCAGTCTGGCGCACACACGTACAGTCACCTATCAATCATCCTGACGTCATAGGTCCACCCGTGACGTAGCATCGTGCCACTGAGAGACGATAGAGACGGGGTGGGTGTACCGGTGATGGTGGAATCACAAAGGAGATGCGATGACTTATGATATGTGCAAATGTGATACGTATGTAATGTGAAATGTATATGTGCATTAATGACTGACTAGCACATGCTTTTCTAGAACAAGAAACTGTTTTTATGATAAGTGAATTTTAGTGTACATAATTGGTTATGTTTGTATTACTTTTTATGCAGCATCTAAAAACTACTTTGAAATTCAACAAAATTTAGACTAATTATGATACGATATGTAATTCTGCCGGTTGAATAAAGATTAATTAATTAATTAATTCATTCATTCATTCAAAGTAGGTTCAAATAGCTAGTTTCCATTGTTTACAAGATAGAGAACACAATGATGATTAACGTGCCACCTGTTCGGACCTAGTCCAAAACTAAAACAATACATCTCTCCATCATAGTAAATCGTGTATCTCTGATGGATATAGTAATTTTTTGCAACATGTCCCAATAAGACCAGTCATTTTCAAATCAGAAGAGCGGTATAGCCCATACAGATAGGTTAGTCTGAAATTGGATGATGTATTGTTTCTTATCTACCACGTAAATTGATATTGTCCGGGCATCATTCGATAATAATGATGGCGCCGGCTATAATATACCTGACTTCGCCCCTGTCACCCCGGCATGCCCCTGTATCATAGCCTTAAGCTTGCTGCTGCGGTAAAACTGTATACAGGGGGTTTCTTCTCATTAGGTGGAACAACCTTAGGCCGTTTAACTACGATATATTATCGCTCAAATCATCAGCTCTTATGCCCAACTCTAACTTCGAATTTCTGTGCCGTTGTTTACCATGATAGAACTAAGTCTACGTTGGGAATTCCTTCCTTTTGCCTTCAGTAGTAAGAATGCCTTTGCTATTCTAGTTAAGATTACTCACGTACCAGAAAGTTTTTACTGACTCAGCATCTAAAGAAAGAAGTTCTAAGGCCAATGACAAATGAAGCTGTCGCTGTTTTTATACACTTGTGGGCTTCCTTAGCTTCTGGCGTTCCTTGAAGGCGACTGCACCTAACCCCGGCGCAATGCATCACCTAAGAACAAAGTGGAGACATGTCCAAAGGCGCTGTAAATGTGCTGATGATGTAAGCAGTAGGTTGCCGCGATCTTTAACTCGTTCCTTGAGGCGATTGTAGTGTCTATGAAACCCGCCTCTGCCATTTTAGCTGGGTGCAAAGATACAAGATACGCTCACATAGGAAATCGGTCTGTTTCTCTATAGTAAGCACGGCTAAAAGTGTGATTGCTTTCAGGGTTTGACGTCTAGATCTCTTCCAAATCACTCCCTGTGGCGGAGGAAGTTCCTACCACCGCCAATGTCGGGGTGGCTTGTTACGGTAATGGAGGGATAGCTTACTATCACATTAAAAATATCAGTCACCAAACAGAATAAAATCCTTGATAAATTCCACAGTTTTAATTTACACCTTGAGTTGGCAAACGATACGAATGTTTCCATGTAAACACGTTTTGGCATGATATTACCTTATTATATTACTATGGTTATTTTCATCTCACAGCACACCAACATTGACCAATACAACAAGTAAAACATCAGTATACGTCCGAAATGAGGAATAGCGGTAAAACATGCTTGTCTTTTTACAGCATTGCTGTCAATATTTTTGGAAATATATATTTCGCTTCGCCTTGGGTAATTAGAGGTGCGTTGTTGACCCTGATACGAGTTAAGTGCAAGCCGGAAGCCGACGTTGCCCCACGGTCCTCCACATAAATGGAAGGAGACGTGATCTTAATGAGAATCTATGTTTAGAGCTGCACGAAGTAATCATGTGTCAGAAAGAGTCAGTATTACGTAGTCCGTGAATTTCAGGAGTCGTTTTAGGGACGAGTATGTTGTGAGATTAGTTCTTTAGGCCCAACAAATCACTGGTGATCATTTAAAGATATTTGAAAAACCTTGGAGATCACCGGAAGACAATAGGAGAACCTTAAAGGTGCAAAATATTCGAAAAACAGTGGGTCACTGAAAGATCTTGAAGATTGCTGGGAGGCCATTGGAAAAGTCATGTTGGGCACTGAGTGCTAACTGAAAGATTATTGACACATGTAAAATTGTCGAGAACGCTCAGTAGTCTCTGAACGGTCTTGCCTGTGTATAATGAGTGTGTCATGCAGCTTGTACCAGCCACCCCCTCCCCCCAGAGTATAGCAATAGCGTCTTTCACAATATAACATCACATCTACTATATACCTGTATCACATTGGATATAGAAGTACTGCAAGTACTTCAGCACTACAAGTACAGACGTTATAATATACTAAGAATTCCGACAAAAGCCAGAGAAACACAAGCAGCAGGAAGGTTGTTTAATGTCGCTTTTTCGTTTATTTTCCAGAAGACACGCAAGTAGGAGTGGGCACTGACTGTCTGTTCTTCACCATCGTCAGCCACGAAGGAGATTTTTTTCAATTTCCTTAAAGAAACCCTGGAGCAATGATGGGCGACTTCAAATGATTCCTAAGACGGCGAGGAGTACTGGGAGGTTGACATTTATTACAAACGACGCTCTGGAGCACGAGTCTTAAAGCAACAATGTCTCAGACTGTGCCGCAAGGAGCGGGTCTGTGAGAAGGAGCTCTGTCAATGCGTCTTTAGTGAGGTTTACTGCTCCTAAGACGCCTCTATAGGTCTTCAAAAAAAGGCAAGAATATGAAAGCTTTGAAAAGATATCCGGTCCTTTTTGTCCTTTTACAGTAATGTAAAATACTATCAGAGTGGAGCCAGTAATCTAAATTCTCCTCCACGTGCATGCATACGTCATTCTTTCAGTCTCTATATGGCGCCACCTTTCATTTAGAGAGTAGAAGCACTAGAAAGGTAGAGTGGATAGCTACGTTCCTTTAATATGCGCATGGAGGTCTTACAGAACTTTTCTCGCTGGGCATTTTGATCGATGACTCTGAAGGATTCGACGGAAATCCGCCCAAGTTCCAACTTAGCAGAGACATATCTGTTAAAACGTTTGATCGACAGGGATGAAAGAATTCTTATATATGTACAGTTGGTTCTTAAAACAAACACAGAAAATAGCAGAATTCGCGTGTTACCAACCCAAACTTCAGAGAAATGCCGAAGAGTAAACAACACTTGTTTGGTATGACCAGCCATTGAAGCATGCCTACGAAGCTGATGTGTTACGCTGATCGCTAAGGGCGGTTTTATCGTTGGAACAATACAGGTACAGCAGAACTTTCCACGAACCGGAGGAGATTGTGACATCATTCAGAGAAGTTCCAAACCGCCAAAAGAACTTAAAAAGAGCAGCTCTTTTGGATCAGCAACTCTGCGTGGCTGTGAAGTGCAACGACTCCGATTCGTCTTCGCACCAATAACCATTTCCATTACCTGTTTTACGGATAACTCACGGAGCTGTGCCGACGGAGATGGCAGGACTGGAATGCTGACGACTCAGTTCTTCTTCATCTTTGTGATAAGCCCGTGAAAGCGGTATCGCGCCGTCCATCGGCGATTGGCCCGAGACCTAACTGCCTCACGCGGCAATGCCAGCCTTATCATCGCCATCAGGCGCGGAGTTGACGTGAGGGGTTGGAGGCAGACGGATGGAAGCCTGATTTTTTTCCTCAGACTTAAAGGATCCTGGCGTAAATCCCTCCCCTGTGTTGAATATTACCTCAGGCAGCCACGCGAGGTTTCGGAGGAATACCTTCGACCAATAGCATCAGCATAATGGAGCTCTTAAAGCGAAGACTGATGCCACAACCCTGCTAAGGCTCGTGGAAAGAATTGACGGTCAAACTGAAGTCGACACTTCGATACCAATGTCCGAGCAGCTCGCGCGCGGGGCTGCCTGTACAACTCGATACGAGCACAACTAACACGGACGGATGAAATTGTTCTGGCGTTTTTATCGTCACACTGCTCTTCTGCAATCTGCCTGGCCCAGAAGTTCCGCTGATGGCGAGCTATGGTGTAAAAATAGCCTCTCCTTTCCTGAGTAACGTTTGGCGATTTTTCAAAAAGGAAAGCCGCTTCCTTTCCGCATTTCGGTAGCCCGAAGCAAGCTTGCAACACACAAGAAAACCGTTGGCATTGAAGGGACCTCGGTGTAAGCCACGACGGACATGTTGCACGAACTATATCAACGGAGAACTGTTATTACAGATGGGAGTTTGCTTCCGAAGGCGGTTATCTTGATCATTGTGCTAATAAGATCGCAAGGTAAGTGGTATTGGGCAATCAACTCATAACTCGAAGCTCGATAGCGGTAAATCAGACTGGTTGAAATTAGCTATAGAAGTATAGAAGCTATAGAAGATTTTTTCCTTGCCTTCTTGCTTGCTTTAAAAAACTATAGCCAGACATAACATAGTGGTTTCTCACCTATAACAAACAATGTCGCTAACACTAGTTAGCCTACAGCAGAAAGGTAGGTGACGTGTCTAGGTTAAGTGAGACGTATTCTTGTATAAATGTACCCGTGCAAACTCTAACCAGGCTCCGTACCGTGTACCGTTATGCCGCTCAGTCTGCTTCTAAATTCAAAGACTTCAAGGTGATGATGATGAATGGTTTATTAAAATATAAATCACCCGAAGTGCTGATTCAGTACAATACAATCTCAGTACTCAAACTTGTTCTACAATAAAACATAAACATTTGGTATTATAAAATTGCAATAAAAGGTGGTAATAAACACTTCTACATTATTAAGATTTGAAGTTAACTACCATAATGCAAAATTACAGCGATAGATTAAAAGGTTTGTATGTACATGTACCATCACGGAAAACCTAGTACATGTACCATTACGAAGACGCCCTATGCGCACCCTTCTGTCTCCTCTGAGAATATGTCATTAGCAGATCCTCCAGATTAGAGCTGTCACAACACGTTCCCTGCTAATATGTCTGGCAACTAGACTTTTGACGTTCACATATGTCCAACGAACTGGACGTAGTTTATAAATAATCACCTCACTGCTTTGACTAAAAAACTATAGACAAGGCTAGGCAGTACATAGAATGTACAGAAAGGTTATTTAGAATGTTACGGTCACTTAGACTCGTGTGAAATCCCTTGGGAATTACAAGTCCAAGCCTCCAGGCATCATGCCGTTATACCAAAGCCTCTATCATTTGTCTATATCCCAACCCAGGGCTGTTTAACACGTTGACACCCTCAGGCGTTCTGTCGCTGTGCTATCCACATCAGCCTCTCCCGTGGCGGTGATTAGGGGCTGATTTATCACCCTTACTGTATAATATGGCAGCCGATACCTGCCGCAGGGACCCACATGTATCTTTGTTAGCTACGCCTCTAGTAGTAAACCGGTATGAAAATGGGTCAAACCATCCGGAGGGACGATATCCGTACAGTACCCACGGGCCGTGTTTCGGCAGCTCGTTATTCTTAGTGGGTAATAAAACTGACTTATCTTTTTGAACTGTATGAGCTGATCTTTGTTTCATTTGATGGCTGTTTCCTTTATTGCTTTGTTGTGTTTTACATGCATGTTGCTTTCTTTGAGCTCGTATTTGATTTGTAACGGAACGGTACCATTCCGTTTTGCGCACTTTAATTCATAGACTCAGAGATAGAGAGAGAGAGTGAGAGAGAGAGAGAGTGCGAGAGAGAGGGGGAGAAGTTACAATCTTGTGTAAAATTATCCCTCCCTCCTTTCCTCCTCCCTTCCTTCCTTCCTTCCTTACATCAACCCCTCTTTCTTTCTTCATCCTTTCTTACCCCAACCCTTCCTTCCTTCCGACCGACCTTCCTTACAGTTGAGTCAGACCTGCTGGAAGACGTTACGGAAGTGACGGAGGACGCCACCCGCGGCCCGTTGCCGTACTGCAGCCTGTTCACGAACCGCGCCCCCCACCCCGAGCACAAGCTGGTCAAGTGTTCCTGGTTCCACAACGACGCCTGCTGCTACCAGGAAGAGGTGGACAGGTGAGAGAAAATGATTATCTACATTGATTTAAAACATGAAAAAAAATGCAGCTACAGTTCTCTGGTTATCATCTAAATGAGTCATATCCGTGATTATCTAATATAGAAGTTTTTTGTGATAATTTGATAAAACAGCGATGTTCTCAATCATGTTCGTTTCATATCCCTCCCATAGGATATTCCCTACAGTGGTGCCCCCTCCCGGAGCTAACCAGAACTGCACAGACCACCTGTACTATCTGATGTGTTACATCTGCTCTCCCCGCCAGCATCTCTTCTACAGGGACGAAGTCGTCACAATCTGTGAAGACCTCTGCAACCGGTAAGAAAGCTCAGGAAACTAATAAAAAAAAACTCAATTCCTGTTACGGTCCACTGGAAAGAAAAGTAAAGAAAATATAGTCATTTTAGGAACTGGTCACAATAAGTTGATTACCGGATTGCCCTAGTGATTTGTATCAATTGCCAAAAAATACATGCCGTGTTGCTGTCCAAATTAAACGTTTCAGAATTTGATTTGACTTCCCCCATCTGCCCCAGCCTTTTCGAAGCCTGTGCAAACGCCACTCTGAAGGGTCAGCGGATCGGCGAGCAGTACTCCTCCGGGAGGGACTACTGCGAAAGCCGGAAGTTCAGGGTGGACAGGCTGAACAGCGGCAACTGTTACTCTCACAACTTCTCCATCGTGGAGGACTTGGACCCGCCAAGCTCCCACCAAGATGGCGCCGGGAGTACCGTATCACTTGTTGCCATGAGCTTGATAATTGCAAGGACGTTAATGACGGCGTCATGACAAAATTATCACACTTATAAAAGTTGTAAATATGTAGCTCTCGTCCTGCCTTTGTTCGTCATACCTATTGTGACGACCTTTGACCTTTCCATCAACATGACTCTGTGTCGCCAGTTGTAATGACCTTGAGAATCACAAGGACGTTCATTATACGAGAATTGTACATATTGTGAATATATATAAAGGTGCCAAATAGATTTTAAGTGTATGCCAATCAATATCCCTTGAATATTTCTAGCCTTAAAAACCAAGATGGCGCCAGCGATGTTCGTGTCTCTAGTTGTCATGACCTTGGTAGTCACAAGGACTTTATAACGTTGTAAGGCCACAATCATGAGAATTATATACTTATTACAGATTGAGATTTTACGTTCGGTCTATGCTTGTCAGGCCTATGCTGCATGCTGTTCAACACCATATTGACGCTTTGTTAATCATTATCCTAAACACTAACAGACCTGCTTATCAAGATAACAGTAAGTTAACGGCTTTTTTGTTCCTGACGTCTCGGCTCGACCCACTAGACGTCGATACGTTCTTAAACCTGTAATACCTTTTTAAGACGCACATAACAAGAAGTTACAGATCTTGAAACGATGAGCTGGTGTGTTGTGACCCTTGTTGCTTGCGTGTCGGTCTTCCTAGGAGGTGTGAGCGGACAAACCGACTGTCCCAGTCAATGCACATGTTCAACAGGTAAGATCACGTTATACACTGAGTAAATGTATGTTCCGACGTCCCACTAAATAACAAAAGACGACAGAACATGGAGGTGTCAAAATATGGGTGTTAGAACATAGGGCTGTCGCGAGCTGGCGCAGAGGGAATAATGTGAAGTGGCCATAAATCGTCAGTTTAATCTGCACTGAACTCAAGCTTACACCACGCACTCACGGCTTGTCTGATGTTCTAAATAACTTGTGGTGATCTTGACTAACAAGCTTTTTACCACTGTTTTACCACATGACCTGTTTTAGAGAACAGTCCTCAACACCATTTTATGTAGCCTGTATTTGCAAAACACTTCCTCATTGTCCATACCGGGATCAAATATTGTCCGGCTGTATTTGTTTACAGTGAGCATATATGCAGTAGGGGTGGGGAATGGGTATATTGGAGATACGAAAAGCACACACTTTCTGCAGAACCATTAAGTGTACATGTACAGAGGTTTGCCTCGTCGTCGTGGTTACTCGTACCTCCATGAAAAACGAAGTTACTGTTTTTGGTCTCTCTCTCTCTCTCTCTCGTGTGTGTGTGTGTGTGTGTGTGTGTGTGTGTGTGTGTGTGTGTGTGTGTGTGTGTGTGTGTGTGTGTGTGTGTGTGTGTGTGTGTGTCTACCTGTGTGTGTTTCCGCACATTTGTAGTCATCACAACTTTAGAACGGCGTAGCTGGTGTGTTACTCCGAAGGGCGGTTATACCGGCTATACCGATACAGATACAGAACGCCTTTATGGATTGTGATAATATTTGGTATGTTTTCAGGTCTTAGGAAAGGTCAAGGTCAATTACGGGCCTCCTGGTGGCTGACCTTGATAATGCAACAGAACTGCCGTTGTTTGTATCTTTTTATCTCCTGAACATGACATTGTCTTTAGCTTAAGCTTTACCTGTCAGGAATAAGTGGTGTGAGTTTTGTGCCTTTGAACTTACATACAGACTCCACCATGGACTACCTGATAACATACCCTTCTGACCACGGTAACAAGCGCAACGGTTATAACCGTCAGAATATAACGATAGCAACGGACACGTACACAGGTCATTGTTATCACACTTCCTCAGTTAATCGCTAGGTGGTGCTTCAGGCCAACAACAATTTTGACCTAGAATCTTATTTGTTTATTTGTTTATTTGTTTATTTAAATTTTTCACAAAGTGAAAGGGAGGGCAAAACAGGTGCGAAGCACCTTTGCTAGTTGCCCTCCCACATACAAAAACAACAAGAATGTACATTACACAGTCAACAATCTATAATACAAGTAGGACACAAAATATCATATAAACATAATCAAGGTAACAACAATGAATGGAAGAGATAACCATATCGGAACGATATCTAGTGAGGTCTTGAGGCAATACAAGAGCTACATCCACACGAAGTGGTCCAGGTACATGGCAGATCAAGACTGTATTGAGTGTTGAATCTGTTGTAGGCTACTTTTGCCAGTTTATGTTTAAATGCTATGATATCATACTGATGAGCGGCTCGCACACCAGTACCACGGAGGTCAGAACCTAACTTATTCCAGATAGTTACAAGTCTGGGAATGTAGGAGTGACTGAACGCTGACGTCTTAGATCTGACAGGTGTAAGCATGTACGACCTAAGACTCCTCGTGGGTCTGGTGGGAAGTGTGATATATTTCTCTATGATTGCTCTTGATTTGACAAATAACATTATATCACATACCTCACGCCTACATGTAAGCGGCAACAGCCCTGTTGTTGCTAGCCTTTCCTTGTAGGTAAGGTGACTAGCCTGAGGGCCCAGAATGAATATGGTTGCCCGGCGTTGAACCCCTTCAATTAGAGACATAAATTTACGAGAATGTGGCGACCACAATGGGGAGCAATAGTCAAGAATGCTTCTGACCAGTGTGGTGTACAGAGCTTATTGAAAGACAAGTACTAGTAACTTAAAGGATATTTCTCAAGCATCTCTTTTGGCCAGCTGAGTTGAAAAAACTCTGTCACTCCTTACTCATACCACTATTACATTTCATTGCCCCTTATTTAACCCTTCATCTACCTCTCCAGGTCAGTTTAAGACGGTGGACTGCGACGCCAAAAACCTGACCAGCATCCCCAGTCCGTTGCCTAGCAACGCCATCAACATTTTTCTTGGAAACAACGACATTCGGGAGATACCAACAGGTATGAATACAATACAATTTCCTGGAACGTTACCATGTAAAAAGTTACCATTTAAAACGTGCTTCAGAATTAACTATAAAATACCAACACAGATGATTTTTAGGCTAAATATGTGCTAGAACTTATGAAAAGTAATTCTCCTCCTAGATGCCTTTAACACCCTGTCCTCTGTGGAGAACCTGTACCTGAATAACAACCCGCTGACCAGGCTGCCGCCCGACGCCTTCCGAGGCCTGACCGCCTTGCAGAAGTTAGACCTTGGGGAGTGTCAGATCGCCACCATAGAGGATAACGCCTTCCGCGGCCTCACTGAGCTCACGGACCTGGTGCTGGACACCAACCAGGTAAGATCGGGTCGGGAACGGTCGGGAACTGTCGTGAGCGATCGGGAAGGACCAGGTAGTGAAACAGACCACGAACTTTGACCAGAAACATTTTTATTTATTTTGTTTGGACAGAGGTTTTATTTACCTTTACGGTTTAAATGAATTAACTTGGCTCTCAAAACACTGACTTTAGCGCAATGTACATAAAACCATTGCAACATAGACGTTTGTTTGTTTGTTTGTTTGTTTGTTTCAAAAGCGCTTCACCTTGTCACTCCACTAGCCCCATTAATGGTTTTCCTGGCCATTGGGGAACCACTGAAGAGGATCCCAGTTTCTTACATCCCAGTTTCTCCGAGTCTTTTTCAAAAACGCTTACTAATATGGACTGTAAACAGTTTAAGATAAGTAACGAATGATGTTGTTGTTGTTTTCCTTCCAGATCAAGAGTGTGTCCCTGTCAACATTCCAAGGCCTGCGAAGCCTCGACTCCCTGAACCTGAGAATGAACCAGCTGACGTCGCTTCCGGCGGATGTGTTCGAGTCGACCCTTAACCTCCAAGACCTGAAGCTGTCCGGTAACCAATGGGACTGCTCCGATTGTACTCTCGCCTGGTTTCCCAGGTACGCCTTTCTTCATATCATTCATTCGACGAACCGTTAATTCGTTCATTACCTTCGTGTGTGAAAGTTTGGTTTGAATGTTGCATTATTGTGAGGAAATGATGTAACCACAGACTGACAGGAAGGTCAAATTGGAGGTAAAAATGGTCTCCCTGCAGGCTGGGAGAAAGTGACAGTGGAATATGCACAGAATCAGAGAGAAGCTGTCGATAAGGAATAAAAAATAATAATTCACAATTCTAAATGCTACCAGGTGGTGTAAAATCTTTGATTTCTCGTTCAGAGCGTAAAGATCTTAGTCTAATATTTCATCACCCATTCAATGAGTATAGGAGGAAGAAATTTTCTGATGCAGTACCCTTTTTACCGCCAGGTGGCTCTCCCTGACAGGCGTTTCTCTGGACGCGTCCAAGTGCGCCACCCCGTCTCTGTCCCAGGACAGTCTGGTGCGGAACGTCCTGGTGACAGAGTGCCCTGGTCTCGTCAGTTCGGCTGTCACCATGGCAACGCCCCCAACAGCCGCCATCTTGATGTTTATCACTGTGTTTTTCTTCTTGCTGTAAATGTGACTCCGTTTAGTATATAGGGTCGACATAGGCCTATTTTAGTGTTTGATATAATTCAAATCATCAACGTTGTGGAATAATGAGCTTGTATTATCCAATACTGCAGATGTCCAGCTTTCAAAAGGTAGCACGATCGACTACGATTTCTGACACGTTCTTGTGAAGTTGTCATTACGTGCATGTGTTAAAATAGACTTTATGATAAGCATCCTTTGAAATATAAATCCCTAATCCCTAAATGTTGTTTTTCTTTGAGGTAATTGTCCGAATGTTATAATCATGAAATAAAGATAAGCATGCTCATTCAAGAACTAGTATATGAGTGGAACAACCCATGCACACTGCGTCATGTCACTTCTGTACACTGACTCGTCTTAATTTGTCTCGCACCGGGGTTCCGTTTTAGTTATTTGTCTCACACCGGGGTTCCACAGATGTCTGTACATGATAACACGTTATGACATTCAAAGCGTACATGATTAATATGCTGAAGTCACATGATTAAATGCTGACTGGTGAATTGATTTGTTTCGGTAAAGAATGTTCTAAAGCCTGGGAATTTGTAGATAAGTCGGCAAAAATCGACTTTTCTATTCCTTTCTGTTTGTGAACAAATCCTCGATACCTGCGTAACGTTACAGGTATTAGAATTTCTGTCACCGTATTGGCCAATGCTATGTCCCTTCATTACACGTAACACATGGGCCTCAAAGGCACGGAATGTAGCTCTCTAACTTCCTTACAGCACCCGTTGCTTTGGATGGCACTGATTTGTTTGTTTGTTTGTTTGTTTGTTTGTTTGTTTGCTCTGACTCTTTTTGTGTAATAGCAGATGATAAGAGTCGACGTCACGGATTTTCGCCTCTGTTTCCTCCGACAGTTTCCCACTAAAACATGATTTATGAAAATTGTTCATAGAATTTACTACAACCATCTGTAAAACTATAATACCTCTACTATTAGTCTTTTTGTCCATCGATTTTAGCCCACGTTCTCTATTATTTCTGGGAGAAGGGTTTTAGTCTGTAAAATCCATGGCGACAGAGATTTCAGGGATACTAAGGAATGAGCATAAATCATTACATGAAGCCTAATGGGGAATGCTTTGGAGTCTCGCTTGATGATATTTACAATTTCGCGGCGTAGAAGCCATATGATAAGCAATATTCTTGTAGTAGCCAGCAAGAAATCAGATTCGAATCCCCAAGTAGTGCACTTTTTTTACCTAGTGGCAGGGGAGGGGTTGGTGGTTTCCACACACTGGCATTAGGGTCAAGTTAGCAGGCTGGGAGGAAGTGAGTACACACACACACACACACACACACACACACACACACACACACACACACACACACACACACACACACAGTTATTGGGGGTATACTAGTACCCGCTTAGGGTGTGTCAGAACAAGGTTGTCAGCCTGTAAGGTTCCTACTAGGCTCATTTTAAAGGGACGTCGGCCACATGATATACATTATTTCTTAACGCAAGGATGAACTACTAGTATGAAATATGTAATGTTAACGTACAAGGATGCATAGAACACGCCATTGAAATACTTTATGTACATGTATATAGCATCTAAGATTGATATCTATATGCAAACCTGGTTACCTACGTACGATTTAGAAAGTATTACTGTGTAAAAACGTAGCACATATCGTTAGATGGCTTTTATATTTACATCAAACCGTAGTTGAATATAAAACTGACAAGATAAGGTATTGGTGAATCTTTTTATCTGTTTGTTCTAGATCCAATATATCTTGAATTGTCTTCATCTGCAGTTTTAGTTGTTAATAGCCATCCATCAGCAGCACACCTTTAAACCCAGTACTTGCTAAAAGCGACCAACGCCGTTCAGATTGATGCCCAGGCCACGGGCACCACTCGTCTTGTCTGTGGCGGCGGCTGTTATCCGTTAGAGTCGGATCAATCATCGGTAATTAGAACACTCAGTTGTCCATTACGGCAGCACGAG